CATTTGATGGTCTATTGAGCAAGTATGTAAAGGATTATTTTCTTAAAATTGGCAGTAAAATGTACAGATGTCTATCTCTTATGGGAATCGTCAAAGATCCTAGAGGTGAAATGCGTTTCACTGACAAACAAATTACAAATGGGATTACGATTATCACACACACACACACACACACACACACACACACACACACACACACACACACACACACACACACACACACACACACACACACACACACACACACACACACACACACACACACACACACACTAGATTAGCATAGTTTGCTCTAATAACAATGACTTGGAACATGGTTATATCTGCACAGGCCTTTCTTCCCAACTATATTTAGATCATTTTTTTTACCAGGTCAGATCAACGTCTGCCAGGTTTAATTATGACAGGTAATGAAGTGACAGAGATACATTGGTGTGTACCGCTTCTACACAAGCATAATCTCACACAGACATGACAAGCTGGAGACGCAATTCTAATTAATTGCTGACAATGTCATTTATCCCCCTCCTCATTAAACAGACATGATTTATTGTCAGATTGGCCACCAAGGGAATTTAATTTGATCATCTTTTCATTTGAAAGTGTGTGTGTGTGTGTGTGTGTGTGTGTGTGTGTGTGTGTGTGTGTGTGTTTCTAACAACAGAGGGCAGATCAGAGGGAGTTTTAAGGCTCTGATATATGATTCACATTACAGAGAAATGTGCCAGATTGGAGATACTGTGTACAATTATACAATTCCACCGGAGAAGTACTTTTTCCTGTTTATGGACCTATTTGTTTAAAGGAGCAGTTTAACAGATGCTACTAAACTACATCATTCATCTATGGCGCTTTGAAAAAGTAGATTAACCAATGTAATTTCTGCAGGAGTGAGAAGAAATGTGACAATCTTTAGTGAAAGTTTTTCAAAATAAAATTGTGTAGGACCTTACAATCAGTGCCAGATGAAATTGATTTTCTTCAGTGTGTTTTTCCCAGAATTTCTGGGTTATGGTTAGTTGCAGTCTTTCTAAATGATTAACAAGAATGAATAAATGCATGCAACGATCTCCAACTTAGAGCGTTTCACATTGTAACTTAGCAGTCTAAAACAATAGCAGACCAGAGATTTGACATGAACATTCAACATGAAAATAGTAATTTAACAAAAGGAGCAACAGTTTCCATGACCTTAGGCACAAAGCTGCCAGGGACACAAAGGACATCAGTTATCTCCCCATCAAGTTAGAACTATTTGTCAGCCACTTAAAGGAGCATAAGTGTCGACACAACAACTTAGAAGCTTAGAAACAAGTTGTGGCTTAAAAGAAATACATAACTGCATCTACAGTGATAAAAATGTTAAAAGGTCAGATGTGCTCAAGAGAAAGCAGGAAAGATCACTGGCCTAAATCAGGATCGTGTTCGACCCTCTAATAAAAAAAAATAAAAGATGCATAAAAATTGTGCTCTTACAATTGTGAAGAAAACCGCTCCAGAACAGAATGGATATAAACATTTACTTTCTTAAATTAAGCCAAAAAGTATAGCTAAAATGTAGATAACAAATATTTGACCACATCTAGGTCTGATTGGTCAGTGACACGTAGGAAGCCCTTTCAAATCAGACTGAGAACATCTGTTAAGCTTGTTTAACTAGAGCCCTAGGCCTTTTTCTGAGAAAGCTTTGTGAAAATGACATACAGACACTTCAATGATTATATTTCTGATACCACCAGGTCTATTTGATTACTTTTGGTCTCATTTTGAATGGAACTCTTGTAAGATTTGTTAAGATGTAAATATATAAGTGTCACTGATGAAGTGTAAATGGACACAGAACGTTGTAAAATTTAGATTTTTTTTCTTTACCGCCTGAAATGGTTTCATTCCAGGATGAATACCTTTTTGGAAAAAGGCAGCATAAGCTTCAAATATAAATTATTTCATCTAATCTAATAAGCATCTAATAAGCTCCCTTTTGGTCACTATTACACCAGTGACCAACAAAAGTTGATGAAATCAGTGTGACTCCATCATTTCCAGACTGCTGGATTCCTCACTCTGAATAAAAGTGAATCCACACGAATCCTACATGGCTTTGCAATTTATGGGTTAAATACTCATATGTGATGAATGAACAAGATGTCTAAACCAAATGCTTGAATAACCTGTGCTTAAATCAATGAATTTGAAATTTGACCTCACCACTCTGACCGCAAACCTCCGGACCGCCGGGAGCAACTCATCGTAAGCCTGCATACTGGTGTCTGATGAGGTTTATAAATAAACAACTCTCTAGTTTATAACAAACAACAAATTCTTTTCCACCAGATTTCACAGTTTCTCTCAAGATACAAAGAACGGTTGCTACAACACCTCACATCCACCACACCACATCTCATTATTCATTTCTTGTCATGTATAAACTGTTAGTTTAGGAAAAAGAATTAAATTCATTTTATAAACTATATACTGACTCTGACTGAACTAGTACGAAGTGTGTTTACTGTATGGCCCTTGAATAAGCAAAGAACCCTAGATTCCTCAGATTAAAAATTCAAAGATCAATCAGATTGATATTTCAAATTTGTATGGAATTATCACATCTTATTGGTCATAATTAATATGTAGTAATTGCTACAGCATCTAATATGGCATTACCCAGAAACTTAGACCTGCTTCCATGTATTTTAGACCCAATTTTTATGGTTATATGTTACAAAGCCACCAATATTTCTCAACAACTGGGCATCATTTCATTAATTTTCAAAAACATTCCGACAGATATTTCCAGATATTAATGGTAAAAACTACACATTGTCATTTTAAGGGCACATGAAACCATTTCTGGGCCGCTCCTTTTACTGGATAACATGAAGTCTGTTGTCCTTTGCCGGCTAGTGTAGAATTAAAATTGCCAGCGCAGCAGTGTTTACTTCCACAGACTTAGCAAAGTCGCAGGTTCAAATATGATTTGCTCTGGAACCAGAAAATATGGAGGCAGGACAAACTATGGTGTTGCACAGGGTGTTTCTCAATGTCAATGTGCCTGGTCTAGCAAGGTGATGTCTTGCTAGGCCAGGCACCTTGCTTACAAGGACACTGTCCTTCCTTGGTCAAAGAAAATGGTTTAATGGAACAGACTTACATCACGTGACATGTGAGGTAACGTTATATTTTATACGTATACGTTTCAATATAAATGTAAAATGAGACCAGGCTACAAGGCACCTCCCATGTATCCTTGCTCAGCTACCTTAACGGCTAACAAACAGAACAGATGCCTCAGCAGCACATGAACATTGGAACACACCTTGGGGGTTCCTGATGAAGTATCCCCTTGGCAACCGGGGCGGGACCAAGACATCAAGGTTAGGTTCCTTGACATTGAGAAACACCCTTTGTCCCTCTTTGGCCTTTTTGAAAGGCAAAAAAAGACAACCCTCCAGCCAGATGGGAAGGAAATCTGTTAAATGTAACCTTCCTTCAAACATGATTGAGACGTTTGACTGTTTCATGATTATTTAAAATATGGCAGGTGCAGTTTGAGGTTTTACTGTAAGCCATTAAATAAAAATTTAAAATACACTCTCACATTAAGCAACGAGCCCTGTGCCAGCTTTCACTTACAAACCCAGCTGTACCAATCCAGTATCAACTGCAATGTGACCACTTCCAGGCAACATCACTAAAACATTTAGTCAACTAGTGTAAAAAATAACCTCATTTTCTTCCCCCCGTGTCCTGTCTGGCTGTGAAGCAAACAAAATCAATGTCTGAATGCTTGTGACAAGACTTACAGATTTACTCTCAGGTGGAGCATCAGAGCTTCTGCTTTTAATGTCACGCCTGATACTTAAAACTTTATTGTTATTGTTTTTTGAATGCTTGTAATTCCGACCGGACACTGAGACAGAGGTGAAAGAGAAAGGAAGAGACAAAAGGAAGGGGGGTCCACAAAAATAAACAATCAATGATGAACAAGAGTCTGCTTCTGGACCTGCAGAAGGAGAAAAAACAAAAGGGACACACAACAATACAACAGGAGCAAGCTATCACTGCGTCAACCTGATGAGGAAATATTAAATCAACATTGTTTTACTGAACAATCACGATAATAAATCACAGTGCATTAAGTGCCAACCACAGCCTCAAGACATGTGTTGAACGTGCCCAAGTCCATACTTATGACAGCACCATGTGAGCACCTGTGTGCGTACCCGCGCTTGTATATGTAAGGTTTCTCTATAGGAGCGTCCAATAGAGACTGTGAGGGGCCACAGATCTGCCCCCCAAAGATGCGTAGGAGATGGAAGGAGCTCCAAGTCTCAGAGATCCAGGAGCTGCCCCAGAGCGCAGGGACCAGGGAGACTTTAATAAATTGTGTGTATTATTTCTATAATTTGATATGAACAAATTATTTAGGATTAAAGAAAAAAGAGACCTATTTGTCTTCTTGTGAAAGCGCAGGTGTGTTAATGAGGGCTGCATTCCATTTAGACAGGTATGCAGGCTTGTTAGGTAAACTGTTGCGGGACAGACTAAATGAACAAAACTAGTATAAAGGAACCTGCAGCGGTATAGAGGACTCATGCTGCCAAAATGGACAACAAATAGAAAAAATACTGAGAAACAAACCAACAAACAAAACGTTAAACATATAATACATTTTACATTTATTTAAAAAAAAAGTCCTCGTACATTTTCTTATTTCCCAATTAACTCATTAACTTTCAAATGTAGTCATTTTAATTATTTTTATTCATTTATTGTCCATTTTGGCAGCATGAGTGCTTTACAGAACAGCCAGGCTCAAGAGAAGCAGCCTTCTGCCTCCACCACCAGCTAGCTAGGGTTGACCATCGACATAAATGGGTTTGACAGGTCTTCACTTTCTCACCAGTCTGATCACAGTTAACCAGGTTTTTTCCTTTTCTCCAAATGGTTTTTCATTCTTTAGTTGTTGCAACAAACTTATAATAAACCACACAAAAGAGACTTTTGGTATAATTCAGGTTTATTAGGACTACACTAATAACATTAATAAAAATAGTCTGAAAAGTCTTTTTTAAACTGATCCAAAATATAAAAAAGACCAACTGTAAATCAATACACATCATAGCAAAAATACTGTATGGTTTATTTAGGCAAATACTTGTTAAAAACATTGTAATAAAAGGGAAAATGTGTTTAATGATGTGCTTTATACAGACATTTAAAATAAAAATAAAGATTAGGATCCATTTTTCCACTGTGCTGTTAGGGCCATTTTACAAACTGAACTCTGTTTGATTCACTGATGCAGTGACAATGACAACAGCATGAGATTGTAAAATAGTTCAATAACAAAACACTCGGGTGTTTTATTAAATTTAACCAATTAGGTGTTTATATCGTTCAACACTACCATAGAAAATGAAAATAAATCAGACAGGATGCAGCACAAATGATTATTTATGGTTCTGTAAACAGAAGAAGCATGAAACAGAAAACCATGCAATAGTGCAGTTTATTCTTGCTAAATGGTATTTTTTAAAGTACTCTTTGTAAAAAGACTGTAGGAATTATTACACTTTTATATTATTCTGTTGGGTTATTTATAATTCTGTTGTCATAATAAAATAAGACTGATTATAATCTGAAATCTATTTCATGCTGTGAGAAACAGTTTTTAGATTTTAGTCACAACTCAGAACCATCTAATAATACAAAATAAACTCATTAAAGGTGAAATAAACCTTTTGTTAGAATACACTCTGTAGTGTAAAATATAGTATTAGGTCTACCTTTTGTATAAACACACACTTGAATCCTATCAGGTGTAAACAATAATTCATACTGTTAGTATCTTAAAACGAGTTTCCATAATTAAGAAAAAGCATTTTAAGCTTAATTTACTAGGAGGAAAGACATGACGACAAAGCCGTCAGACACAAATCGTACTGTTAATGTGATAAGAAGAGAAGTGAGGCTGGTGAGGAATCTTTACAAAGTTAAGACTCGGAGTGTCCTAGAGCTAATCCTTCTCACTTATGATGACTGAGATAAAGTGTTGGTCTTTCTTTGATTTGACACGTTTTTCTTTGACTCACATTTGCTTTAAATGAATGGTGAGGAGACAGCTGAAACGATCTTCACACACACACACCACAGATTACAGGTACCTCTGCGAAACTAAATATGTCATCTCTCTTGTTTTGCTCCAGCTCAAGTTAGGATTCGACCACAACAGACTGATGAGCGACAGCAAAGACGTATGAAAAACAATTGTGGCTGGAAAAGTGGACTAGAGTCATTCAATTCACAGGCACCGTCCACATTTTACTACCATGACATTTTTCCATTTTCGCCGTGCACACTTCTGCCCCGCCAGCTGTCTGCCACCTGGCTGTGACAGAACCGTGACTCCACATCGGCTGGCCTAATGGTCGGAGAACCCAGGCATGGGGAACGGCCTGGCAAAAGCCTCGACCCGGTGCCGCAGATTGGTGATACGAGCCACCGTCTCTGGGTCCTGCAGAAGGAAGTTCTTAAAGTCTTGGAGCTTTCCTGAAGTAGAAAACATTCACATTTTTTAATTAGCCATTTTATTTTTTTTGCATCAATTTTTTAATCATCATTTTAAATCTTACTTCCTCTTATTAATATTTCCTCTCTTATCTCTTAGCTGTTTAATTTAACTCACTCTTCACTTAAAACATAGAAATGTGCCGTTTAGACATAAAAAAACCAAAGATAGGTTGAAGCTTACCTGTCTTCTTCTTAACATCCAAGGCAATCTTAAAACCTTCGTCCATGAAGTCGACCACTTGCACAAACTCCTCTTCCTTAAACTGCCTGGAGGTCAGGGCTGGAGCACCTAAAGTGGATAAAATGTGTTTATAATTCTAGTATTTCCTTGTTTTTGAGTCTATCAGCTCTTAGATTTCAGATGTGTCTCATGAAGGAAGCAGTTCAGTTTTATTCAGGAACTTCATTTGCTTTTCCAGCTTTGAGGAGAAGAAACCTCCTCTTCCTCAGACTTTCAGCAAGAATTCAAAGTGCTTTAACTGCACATCAGAGTCTGAACTGTTCTGTTGATTTTGGCTTCACCACTAACTCAAATTTTTATCAGCCACTTTATCAACTCCTGAGAAAATCTAGCTGTGACGTCGCATCAGAACCCCAGCCAGTGTTTATATCACTGATTTTGTGGGTTTTTTAATCACTAAAATTAGCTGCAAACAACAATTCAAAGGACAGCTGGAGAGTGCTTTAGTGCTGAAATTCAGTTTTTAGTTTTTGTGCCCAAATCAAAACAACTTGTGAAAAACTGAGTTCAACATTTGAAAGACAAAGCTGATAGTTTAGTGACAGTTGCTTTGTAGATGGTTAAAAGTAAAAACGAGTTTAATTAAGCATAAAACTGCTTAAATGTTGGCAATTATGCATAACTGAATAAAATGATGACAATAATTGTGGCATAAATTTGGGAAATGCAAAATTAGGAACAGCCTGTGAAAGAGCAAACGGTGAACAACGGATCAACATCAACAGAAGCGTTCCTTACCTAGCCTTAGGCCACCAGGAGTCAGGGCGCTCTTGTCCCCAGGGCAGGTGTTCTTATTGGCGGTGATCGACACAAGCTCCAGCACCCTCTCAGCTCGGGCCCCATCGATGCCCTTAGGCCGCAGGTCCACCAGGACCAGGTGGTTGTCTGTCCCACCTAGAATATTCAACACAGAGTTCAAATTTTCAAACACTTATCCTATTATTTTAATATGAAATCTGCATTTGTATTTTCTTTTTCATAACGCCATTAAATGAGCAAAATCTAATTAGGCTACATGCGCGGCTGAAGTGTGACAGCATCCATCTGCCTCCCCTACTTGATGGTAGCAGCATGTTACAAGTCACACCCACTGCAAGATCAAAGCTAGACTAGACAAATGTTCCAATCCTACGCGTTCTGTCATAGTCACGCCGTCTGCAGACAGCCTTTTCTTAGGAGGGAGATAAATGGGTCAGGAGTGTGGTTTTGTATCATAAAAACATACATCAGCTGTGCTTGAAGCAGGAAGGGCAGCACTGGAAACGTTCAGCATAAACGTATAATTCATCACAATAATCAATATGTATAAAAATCCTGAAGTAATTCTCAGAGTCAGGTTAAAGCTGTGCTAACGCTAACCCGTATCCATTCAGGGCTGATGCCCTCTGTGTGTTTATCTACCTGTTGTGAAGCATTTTTAATTGTTCTGTTTAACTCGGAAATAACAGCCTTTCATTTATTTTTCAATATGGTGGACAGGAACACGAGCAATTATTCTTGCTAAGAATTCAAATGTAAAATTAGCGCATATTTCTAATTTATCTACAGGAATCGGTCATTTTAGTCTCTTTAACTCATTTACTGCCATTGATGACAAAAGTTGTCATTTTAAATTCAACCGCTCGCTGCCATTGACGACTAAAGCGGTCAATTGCATTTTTGTAGCGGGGCGGGCGTGGGAACGAGCCCCCACACCGTGCGAAAAACATCGCGTCTCTAAAGCTGATCGTCTTCTGCCCATGTCACACGTCACATGATCAGGAAGCAGAAAATCCGTGATTTCGGAGATTGTTTTGGAACGCGGCTGTGAAAGAGTGAGGCGTCAACTGGAAAAGCTTCTACACTCACACTTGGACAACGGATTATGAAAGAATGGATAATGCTAGAAATGCACTGATTCTTCCTGATCACAATATTCTGTGACTCTTCAAATAACAGTAAAAACGCTCAAAAACACTGCCAGTCTCAGGGGCTTTCTGACCAGGAAATGTCTAACATTGAATGAGTTAGGACAAAGACGTTCACTTGTTTTTTAAAAACATTAGCAATGGTGTCTAGTATGAATGAATGCCTTGTGAGTCGATCTCTGTAGGAAAAACAGCTCAGATGCTCCTGTTTCAGGAAGTAGTTTCAGGGAGCAGAAAACGGCAGGATTTGCGGCCGTATTCATTATAGTTTCCTGATATTCAGGCATATTATCTGTGATTTGCCAACAGCAACGTGACTCTACCACTGCCATCATTTGCTTTTCATTGTTGACGCTTTATTTCCACAAATAACACAGACCTGAAAGAGTTCTGCCTATTTGTGGAGTCGATAATGCTAACAGTTAGTTGCTATTAGCCTAGGCATGCTCTGCTCTCTCCTGGACACTAATCCCACTCACACACAAGCATCGGCTCCACTCCGCCCCGCTCGCCCCAGTGAGGCCCGTACCACACCGCCTTAGGAATGCGGACATAATTGAGCACATGGGCAGTCTGTGATGTCATGAGTGCATCTTCGTGCATGTGGGCGGGGAAAAGAGCACAAAAATGTCTGCAGTGTCTACATTAATAAACTAAAGCGGCCTGAGCGGTATTTTGGTGACTGATAATTTGTCAATGAATTTGGTCTTTAATATTTACCTTGTCTGTCAGACTAAGCAGCGCGTTGTATCTTTTATCAGTGTTACAAGGTCTTAAAATCTCTTTTCCAGTTCTTTTGTTAAAACATCTGAAACAGAATTAAAACACGACTATGCACATGCTGCAGCGTAAGCACAAACAAGCCTCAGTTTTTTTTAAGGGTATCAATTTGGGGCCATACATCAAAAAGCAGCTGAGGCCAGCGTATTAAATGCTAAACAAGACTCAAGCATTTGCTCACAATCGCAAAGCGACCACTTTCATCAGATTTTATTTACTTGACTGACAAGGCAGCTGTACAGGTATTAGTCCATTTGCACATCATGAATTTAAATGCACTTTTGTCTTTTTACCCCTGCTGTGTAATTAGCATTTTATGACAGGTGGTTTTACATGACTTTGTTTCTTTTCTGTATGATGGATCAATGCCTTCTGTGGCAGTTAAAAAAAGAGTTAAGAACAAGTCAGATTACCTGAAACCAGCGTGTATCCTTTGCTGAGAAGAGCTGCAGCCATAGCCTTGGCATTCTTAAGTACCTGATCAATATAATCCCTAAACATGGGAGTCGATGCCTGGACACAAACAGGTCAGTTTGGTTAGCTGTGTCTTTCGAGAGGCTAATTATCTGATATTAAGACAAAAAATTTATTTTATCTCAAAATGATTACTTTCTAACTGACAGTTACAACAGAGCAAAGGGAAGCTTTTATTGGAGGAGTGGGGGGGTCACACAATGACATTGAGCATTAATGTTGAGCAGACCTGTCTAAGAGCCACAGCTACACCAGCAATAGCATGGTTGTGAGGTCCGCCCTGCAGGGAGGGGAACACCGAAAAGTTGACCTTATCTTCCAGGTCGTACAGGATTTCTTTTCCTTTCTTGTCCACTGAGCGAACGCCTTTACGGTAAAAGATAAGGCCAGCCCTGAAAAGAAGAATCAATAAATAAAACATTTGAAAAATATAAGCTTCACATGTCATTGTTAAAGTTGCAACATGTAAGAATGACATTGTGTGGTCAAATTTTATTACTGCAGTACTGCACTACACCACAATGGACTCATTATTCACTTCACACATACATTTCACTGTGACAGAGTTTTTGGTAATTGAAAAAGTAGTTTGAAATATTTTAGATCTGACTGCTTCAACGCTAGCCTCTAGCCTGCTTCACTCGATATTAGTGTAAAACTCTTTGGAGCTTTTTGCCTGCCGGTGTCGAATTACAAATGCCAGCGCTGCTGCTGCTGTGTTGTGATTATTTTACAGTAGAAATCCTACATATTGTACCTTTACTAGATTTTTTCTTCTTCATTTTCACACTGACTGCCCTTACCGTGCTCCTCGGAGGGACTTGTGAGTGGTGGTAGTGACCAGGTCGGCATGCTCAAAGGGGGAAGGGATCGCCTTGGCCGCCACCAGGCCACTGATATGAGCCATGTCAGCAAGCAAGTAGGCATTAATCTCTGAGCATAACTGATAAAAACAAAAAGATGAGAAGTTTCACATTTATGTAAGGAAAGCATCAGAGGAAATGATACCGACCCCCCACCCCAAAAGCAACTTTAGGAACATCAAACTAAACCACATGGTGATACAAAAGCCTCTGGGACTCAAGTAAGTCATGTTAAGTGTTATTTGGCTGTTTGAGATAAAAGATAAGCTTTTAGCCTTTCTACATTTGCATTTTCTCTGCATGATTAAGATAACTAACTCCACACCTATCTTCTCAGAGGGAAGATTTTTAAAGATGTGTAATTAGACTGAAGTCTTAAGAGGCCTGAAAAAATTACAGCAACATTCAATAAATCCATGCCTTCACTTCCCTGCATTTATTGGAAAAGGCAGAAACAACAAAAAGCTTGCTAAAATGTAAATGTAAACAATCTTTTGAGTTTCTGAATCATCAAGACAATCTCCCTTCCTCTGGCATCTAAACTGGATCAGAACTGGTTTATTAGATGGGAAATCAACAGGGAGAAGAACATCAGAGTGTAGTTGGAGGCCAGCAGTGTAACAAAGAGAAAATCCAGGTGGCATGCCAGTTGCTGAGTGGTTATGGTGGTTAATAAAAACCAAGCTCTGTGATGGTGGGACACGCCGCCTAAAGTGGAGCTCTGCTACAAAGCAAACCAGTTATGGAGTGAATGAAGTGAATCAGCAGGTTAATGTAACAAAAAAAGAAAAAGGCTCCTCTTGTGCACCATGAAAGAGTCCAGTGAATAAAGAAGGTCTCTCTGTGTATTTAGAGCAGATCTCAACTGTAGGACAGAGATCAGCAAAAACTGTTCAGGCCTGACCTACCTTTAAAGGAAGCGGGTGTGTCTGACATTTCAAAGAAAAGGGCTGGAGGAGTTTTGCGTTAGAGGACAAAGCTGGGTTGACCTCCTTTACACTTGGAGAAGTCAAGAAAACCAGGGGCAAGGAAGCAGAGGGCAGGGTGAGGTTTGAATAAAGGGGTTTTAATTCACCTTCCTGATGCGGGCATAGTCAATGAGGCGGGCATAGGCGCTGGTGCCAGCGATGATGAGCCTGGGCCGGAACAGCTTGGCTGTCACCTCCATCTGCTCGTAGTCTATGAGTCCCGTCGCAGGCTGCAGAGAAAAAGACAGGGAGAGAGGAGAGAAAAATAATAATGAAGGGAAAAAAACAGAACCACGAGAAAGTGGAGGAGGAATATGAAAATATGAGGGTGTGTAAGGGTCAGGAAGAAAGGAAACATGAGAAGATAAAAAAAAAGTTAGACATGTGGAGATCAAGAACGAGCATATCAACACGGAGAAGAATTTTTTCCATTTGAAGCTCACCCGAAGCAGCTGCAATTGAAGTACTTTGGCTACTTTAAAAGGGGAGAGGATCTATCTAAGGGAGACATTTACACCTATCATATTGTGGAGGAAGATGGGGCAATTGCAGTAATGCACCCCTACTTTTCCTAATTCAGCCTTTTAGGGACCTGCTAAACCGGTGTGATGAGCCTGAACAGATTAAGCTGGGTTTAAGACTCTCCCTGTTCCATTCAACCAACCAGGTAATGCAGGAAACACGTTAGCTAATAAATAAATCTGAGGCTGCGGTCTGAGTCGCATGTCTGGGGACTGATCCTACACTTTTACCATTCTGAATCTCCACCGAGCATCAGAGGGGAGATGACCAACGATCGCAGAAAAACAAAGTAGGAGACAGACAGAATGGAGAATAGGAGTCAGAAACAAGAAAAAGAATGGAGAATAGGAGTCAGAAACAAGAAAAAAAAATAAAGAGAGAAAACAGAGTAGCGAAAGCTTTATTTAGACAACCTGATAATCTCCCATCTCAAGAGCACATCTACGATGCTCCCTCACTCCATCAACCTGTTCATCGTGAGGACAGAGCCAGTGATGCTGGCCAGCCTGTCGATTTCCCATTATCTTTCTCGCAGAGGGGTCTTGCCTACCCATACATCAGCAGGTCTGGACATGCAGACCCTCACTGCCATCCATCAGCTGCTACCAACACTATCACAAAACCATAAACACCAGGAACAAAACACATTAAATTCACCAAAGACTGATCATATCTACTGAATATGGTTTGTAGGAATTTCCCTTGTTAGATGTGGGGGGAGCCTGATTATGAAGATCTACATGCAAGTGAACAATCCCATGGATGTTTTCCCTGCTGAGATAGTGGGACTGCATGTTGCACTTTGTAAGGTGGTCATACATCAACTTAAATGCTTCAATTGTTCTTTTAGTAAGCAGCTGCCAGCAAATGTCTGCCATCTTTAAATTTCCCTGAGTTAGGAACCCTACTGCAAATAATTGAATGGTCATATATTTATTATGTACAGGTTAGCAATAATCTAATTTAAATTATGTTCACAGATAGACGCGTTTGTGAATTACATGCTACAGTAGCTTGCCAAATTCCTGCAACGGTGTTTAGCAGAGCAGACTCGAACCTGAATCTGCTCCACAGCGCTGCGGTCAGCTAAGAATAAACAGAATGGTGAGGAGTTTTCTTCCGCTTGTAGAGTTTAGATATTCTTAGTTTCACGACCATCATGTTTTTTCAGAACCCCACTTGATTGTGAGCCTGCTACTTGCTAGCATTAGCTAATCTGCCCGTAGTTGCACTTTTGATCCCAAACCGTTTCTGCCTTTGGTCTTTGCTGGTTTCTGTTTTCCTCTACACCACCTAGATTAATTCATTGTGCATCAGTAAGAAACTTACTGTTCTAAGTGTGTCGTTCGTCATCAAAACACCGGCTTTCTCTCACGTTCTGATCTGCCTCTGTCTGCTCTGTTGCCTCCTACACATGAGCTGTGCCAACGCATATCTTCATCGATTTTATTGATGCATTGTTGCACAATCAAGAATGCTCTTGATGTCATGGCGACTGGATTATGTTCGTCAAGTTGCACCAGTCTGATTAAACTATTATCTGCTCAACGTCCAAAATAAAAGCCGAAATATAAATGAATGTGACTCATGTGTGTTGTAACTAGCATCGTGTGTTTTGGCTATGTGGCGTTATTAAGTGTTCTTCTATTTCCTTTTGTACTGAATGAATAGCTCAAGAAAATCTACTTTAAAAAGACAACATCAAATGTCAGAGTAATGGGATAAAAACTTTCTGAAAATAAATAAATAAACAAATAAATAAATAACAGATTTACTTTACCTGAATGGACAAAATTTGTAAATTTTTAAAATGTACCAACAAAATCGATCAAAAATACAAACTGTTAGTAAATGGGTCACCTTTTTATGACACTGCAACATTTTTTATTGCCAGTTTCCTTATTAGGAAAGCTGAGAAATCATGGTGAGCATACAAGGACAGGTGGAAGGTCTCTACTTACATTTAACTTGTAGGGCATGGACTCAAAGTAGATTGACGTTGCAGAGATTCTCTTCACATCAGACATGTAGCCATGAGTTAGACTGTCAAAGGGACACAAATAAAAAAGAAAAGTGTTCACTATTTTTTTAACAAACAACTTTATTTATGAAGAAAAAACTCTTTTGTAGCTGATGATAGTGTTTTACAAAAACATGGATAAAACTGAATTGATTCTTTTGATAACAAGTGCTGACTATCAAAAAAAAACTGGGACAGCTTTAAGGGTGATAATAGCAAAAGGGACAAAAAAAGAGCGTGAATACTGACTGTCCTCCATCGGGCAGGTCCAGACCCATGAGACGGTCGTGGGGGTTGAGAACAGCAGTGTAGGCAGCAAAGTTAGCAGGAGAACCAGAATAGGGCTGAACATTGACACCCCACTTTTGTGGGTCTAGCTCAAAAGCTTCCAGAGCTCGCTTCTGACAAAGAAGCTCGATTTGGTCGACCACCTCTGCTCCACCATAGTACCTGGTGTTGAGAAGGGATAAAAGTTTCTATTATGTAAAATAGAAGTATGAATCCTGAAAATGCCACTTGATTTTACTTTATTACAACTAAGACATACAGTAACTTTTTTTTGCCTCCTAAGGGCCTCATGATATTTATTCATATATTAGAATCTTAAACCTAACTATGGTTCATCTGCAATTATGTCTGACCACATGAAGTGAAAGTTAAGTTTTTATCAGCTGTCACTGAAAGGCAGGCAATAACGTATTTTCCTGTGTCTGTCATCAACAACCGAATAACATTTAGACTCAATCTCAATCAAGATGGACAACACAACTAAATTTGGCTAGTCAAAATCAATATAGAAATAGTTTGAACAATCAAGAAGACCAAAACTAAACTCAGCTATTTTAATCACTGCAAAGCTAGAACTTGTTATGTTCAGTACTGTAATTCATCACAACCACATAATCTGAGAACTAATTATAATCATTTACTTGCTGTTGGAGTCAACCTACTTGATTACTTAGCAAAATATTCTATGAACCAATAAAAGATTTAAACAAAATGCATCACTCACGAAACTATAATTTGATAATTCTGGGACTCAACCCAGTTCAAGATGTCTACCACTGCGAATAGGCATTAACGAACAAAGACATCGCTATAGCCAAGTTTACGTATTTATTAGAAACTGAGAACATTTGTAGTAGTAGTACCTGAATCATTCACATTCTCATACAGACGTGAACAAAGTTGTTGGTACCCTTTGGTCAATGAAAGAAAATCCCACAATGGTCACAGAAACAACTTGAATCTGACAAAAGTAACAATAAATACAAATTCTATGAAATGTAACCAATGAAAATCAGACATTGCGTTTCAACCATGCTTTAACAGAATTATTTAAAAAAATAAAAATAAAATAAGGAACAGGCCTGATGTTACCCCTAACTTAATATTTTGTTAAACAACTTTTTGAGGCAATCACTCCAATTGATCGATTCCTGTAACAGTCAACGAGACTTCTGCACATCTTAGCAGGTATTTTGGCCCACTCCTCATAAGCAAACTGCTTTAGTTGTCTCAGGTCTGAAGGGCGCCTTTTCCAGACGACATGTTTCAGCTCCTTCCAAAGATGCTCAATAGGATTGAGGTCTGGGCTCATAGAAGGCTACTTTAGAAGTTTCATGTTTTCCTCTTAGCCACTCTCCAGGACTCTAGAAGGCGCTATATCAAATACAGGCCATTTGTCAGATTCAAGTTCTTTCTGTGACCACTGTGGGTTTTTCTTTTATTAACCAAAGGGTACCAACAACTTTGACCACATCTGTATATGGGTGCTAACAGACTGCTAGAGATCTTCTGATATTATTATAGGACTATACATGATGTTGTTTTTGAAGATTTGACAAAAAACAATTCTCAACAGAAGTTGATCTTATTTCAAAACTCTGGCATAAAAGGCACGGGCTGATACGTACTCCTTCAACAAATGCTTGTTCCTTTTATCATCATCTCCTAATGGAAACACTTGCTTTTGTAAAGTAATCTACTGTGTTCACCAGTAGACCACACACCGTTCTTTATTCAGACACGATTAGAAACTTAGCAGCTAAAGCATCCAGTGAATTTCAACAAAACTCAAGGGAAGCTGTACATTTAAAAGGAAAGGACACATTTGTCAGTACAAAGTAAATCCTTCAACATTTTCATTTAATAAATTGTTATTTAATGGAGACTACAGCCGTCTAATGATAACCACCTCTGATCCCTACATGCTTTAACAGATTCAGGGCAGAAAAGGAGCAATAGACGAGAACAGTTTAAAGCTTTAAATCAATGACACGAACCTTTGGTTTCATTACATTAAAGCGTAAAGCAGCAGATGAGTGGGATGTCAGGGAGGTGGGGGGGTGAAAATTAAAAACACATTCAGTGGGAGGGAGATTTATGAGAAGCTTGTATCCCTGGATTCAAAAGACATCAAACGATTAGCATTGAGCATTTTGGCTCTCGGGTTGATGCTGATAAATGTGAATTATAAAAGAAATAACAGGAAATGCAAAAGACTTTATTTAAACGGACAGTTTAGATTATTTACGATATGGTAAAGGTGTATGTCATAGAGCATAAATTAGTATGCACCTTTGCTCGTGTCTATTTTTTGTGTCTGTAGCAATGTCCTCAAGCACAGAATATCAGCAGTGTTAATAAGGTGAGGTGTGACTGAATAAACTGTCACCTTTTCCCTGGGTAGCCTTCTGAGTATTTGTTGTTCAGACAGGAGCCCTGAGCTTCCAAAGCAGCTCGGCTGCAGAAATTCTGTGGTGAGAACGAACACACACACCCACACACACACGCACGCACACACACACACACACACACACACTCAGATCAATGAAACGAGAGGATAGAAGGGACAAGGATGGCAGATTAAAGTATGTTAAGTGATAGTGAGAAATCCCCCTCTGGCATAAGGCAATCATTACAGTATTGAACTCCTGGACATCCATAGACTAACACTCCATACTTCACAGTGCTTATCGCCACGCTGCTGGAGGGCATGAGATAAAGTAATAAATGTTTCTGTAGATGTTTGGATACAATTCTGGGGACTTCTCTTTAAATCATTTTTCTATTTCAGAGAAAAACAAACAAATGGTAAGCATGTTCTTCTGAGAAATAGACACAGGTCTCCAACAAGGCAAACACTCCACACCACAAGTGGGAAATAATCACTGAGGTTAGTAATAGGGTCTAAAAAACATACATGGACTTACTCCACTTGTGTTGTTTATTTCCTCTGACTGGGTGGTGGTGTATCGTGAATGAGTAGTTATGCTAATGCTTCACCAAGGAGCAAAGATGAGATCAAGGAAGATAACAGCTTCAGTAACAACTTTCTATTGCATCCGTCTGTCATGCTGATAACCGTGCATATATTAGCACAGAAATACATTTGCAGTGCTGCAATTTGAGGTATATGCTTCCTGTAGGTGGCGTGCATAGAAATGTACGTCTGACTCAACGAGCGTCTGCCCGGCTGTGCTGCCATGGGCCTTGCAGGTTTGGCTGGTGGTGGCAGGAGGAGCAGAATGAAGATATCAGTTTTATCTCACAGTCGAGTGGTCAGGCTTTGTGTGGAGACGAGGCTGATATACTCCACTGAACAACTACGGTGGCAAAGAGGAAACAAGGGAAGAGGAAAAGAACAACAGAAGATTAAGCCTCATCTGCCCTTCTGAATAATAAAATTCTCCATTTCACGCTATCCAGCCCTGGAAGGAAAACAAAAAGGGGCTGCCCAAATCTTTATTTTCACTGTAAGTACAGTGTTATTGTTGCTTACAGCGAGCAGTTTCCTGCAGCATTTCACCACTGAAGCCAGTTTTAAATAATTTCGTTGCACAGCGTGACAGTGGATGCCAAGTAAATGTTTAGTGAGGCCGATGTTCCTTTAGCTCAGTGTTTATAATAAATGTTTTATCATTAGCATGTTTGATTAAAAAGATTACCATCCTATAAACCTCCTAGGGTTTTAGAAATAACAATAATAAAGGAACGTGGTGACATAAGATATGATTCCAAGATATATTAGAAATGAATGAGTCATGATTTTTTTTTACTCAATAAATATAAATATGCACTTCCCTTTTTATTTTTGTGCTTACTGCACTATTCCATCCTCACAGTAATAATCCTAGAGTAGTCTGTATTCATTCAGCTCTAATTAGAAAATGTTTCAGTCCAAATGAAAGCAGCAACATATGAGATAAACGTTCTGCAAATCCACCTGCTTCGCCAAAATGTTCATCACAGATTAAATGTTCTCAAATACAAACACCACCAAAATACAAGTGAGGAGCCGCCAGCTCTTACAGATGGAGTGCTGTACTTCTTTAACCACAAGGCAAGTTAAGTAGTGTACAATGATGAGATTTCTACCAAAATCTGACTGAATTTATTTTTAAAAGTTTCAATTCCAGGCAGTTTTACTACTTCTAACTACATCCACAGTTTTAGTTGATGAATCATATTGAAAGGTGTTTAGCACTTTCTCGTTTCTTTCGGCAATGTGGGTTTCCGCTTCTGTCGGAAGCGTCTCAGGCTAGACACCCGAGGGGATGGGGTGAGTGCTCCGTGACCGTGTTGGCATTCAAAACTTAGCTTATCCTGTAGATTTGCTGCAGCAGCTTTAAAGCACTTTTATATTCTATCAATCAAAAGCAAATAGTTCTGACTAGGGCTGCAACAACGAATCGATAAATTCGATGAAAATCGATTACTAAAAGCGTTGGCAACGAATTGCGTCATCGATTCGTTGTGTTGCGCAACTCTTCCTAAAGCCCCCTCCCCTCCCGCCCGCCGTTGCGCGCAGACCGGTGGAGAGCCGGCAGGTGTTTGTAAGAGGAACATGGCAGAAGCAGCGAGACCCCAAAAAAGTAAAAACTTCTAAAGTTTGGGAGCATTTTCAGTTGAATCAGGCGAAGACATGCAACGTTTGTAGGTCAGACTTAGCATGGCACGGGGATACTACGGTGATGATGCAGCGTCTTAAACGCAAGCATGTCGGAATCATCAGCGAGGAAGGAGAGAGCTCTGTGTCTGGGTAATTTAAAAACTTTTCAAAAGTGATTCACCCAAGCCCCGGATTATTACACAGGCTAGACATGCCCTAAGCTCGTTAAAAAAAAGTCTATAAAATTGTAAGCGCGACGCTATTAGATAGGCGGGGGTGGGGTGGGGGTGGGTGGGGTGGGGGGGACTCGCGCTGCTGCGGACCGGTTCCGCCATCACATTCCCGCAGAAACTGGTTGATCACACAGGGGCCAGACCACTAACATGTGGCTTTACAACCACAATGTCCTCAGAAGCGAAAACGCTTTTAAAAGGGAGGGAGGAGTCCTAACTGTTGCTGCAGGCGTGTTGTGTGAGTGCAGTTATATACTGGTTAATGTATTTTTGGGTTCAGTTGCTTTCATGTGGCCTAATGTGAGTCTATTTGGGATCATTGGAATGATCAGCAGCATTTCTTGATGTGACTTTATGGCAGTTGCCCAGGGCATCATCACAAGGAGGATGGCATTCATTTATTTTTGTTTTATTTGGCATTTTTCAGTCATTTTTGGAAATAGTGATTAATTTTGATTAATTCACAGACAATGTTTAATTTCATTTAAAAATTAGTTGTTTGACATCCCCAATTATAATAAATGTCTACAGATGAGATCAAACAAAACAGATGAGAATTGCCCTTAAAGAGCAAGTCACCCCCAAATAAACTTTTTTTTTGCTGATAAACTAAATAAACGAGTGTCTAATCGTGCTGCAGACACGTGTCGTCAATAATTTGGCACTTCAGTGCATCTTAGTTAAAATTTAAATATTCTGCCTAAAACTGGCAGTGTTGTGCCGTTGTCAGGTAAAAACTCTGCACTGTATTTTAATTTAAATCTGCCACCGCTATTGGCTAAGAAGTATGCTATGATGTAAACTGGTACATTATGATGTCACAATGCTGTCGTGAGCCTGAGTGTGTGTGTATTTGTTAGCGGCTCCGCCCTCTCGGTCTGCCAGGCAACAGCATGTGTTGCATTTTTCAAACATGAAGCTGGAGTGGAGTTAGACTCTGGTAGGGGTTGACTTGCTCTTTAAGCTGTTTAACTTGGACCAAGCATTTTAGGTCACAGATAGGTGTAGCTTAGGGTCTCTGTCTATACACCTTATAAGACAATTTAGGTGATGGCATGTTGTTTTTCTGCTATTGAACTGTTTTCTAATAATGTTGTGTTTAATAAAGTGAAGGAAGGAGAAAAATAACGTTTCCCTAGCAGTTTTTAAAAATGTCCCTATGTAATCCGATTAATCGATTAATCGTGTCGAGACCCCATCCGATTAATCGATTATCCAATTAATCGTTATTTGCAGCCCTAGTTCTGACCTGACATTAGATCATGAAATTGTGGTGGGAATTTGGGAGAAACATCAAAATATTCAGCTGCTACATAAAGGGTTTCATGTCACTACTTCAAAATAAAAACATCCTCCTGAGAGTGGTATTTCCAAGTTTAAACAGTATCTTCCTTTCAGTTTCACATTTTTTTATTGTAAATAAAAAAAAATCTGAAAACAATAGTAACTCATCTCATAGGAAGATGATTAATTAACTGTACTGAAGTACCTCAGATGCAATAAGCTCCAGACCCCGACTCTGTCTGTCCTTCTCCTTCTGCAGCAGAGACCACATCTCAGGGTCATCCTCAGCCAGGCTCTCCTGACCCGTCCAGCGGCGATCTTCGTCAGCTGCACGAGTGGCTGCATGGGACTGCTGGAGACGCACGCTGAGACCAACCGGGGCACGCTGGCACAGGGGCTGGGGACAGGAGGAAAGTTGAGAGTGTGATGGAAGAATGCAGTAAACGGCATGGTCAAGTGGAAGAATAGCCTTAAAAAGAGTTGTTTGAATTTTAAAATTAGACCATTTAACTGAATCATGACGGGGTCATGGTTGCTGAGATGTTAGAACAAAGAAAAGACGCAGTTATGCTGAAAGTCATGCATTACAAGTGCTCAGAACATGTTTCAATAAAGCAAGCTTCCAATTTTCAAAGTGACAGCCTGATCAGTCTGATAAGAAGTCTTTGAAGTATGTTACTTTTTCTTTCTCTCACCCTAATACGTAGCCCTGCACAATTACAAGCTTGTGTGTTTGCCTGATATCAATAATCAGCACGGTTATTCAATTATGCCTTCATCAGCACTTCTATAAACTGAGCAGCTGACTTTTACAGCCTCAGTGTACCAAAAGTAAGCATAAAGAGAACAGATTCAGCACTTCCTGCTTATCTAATCTGGACCGGGGTTGGCAAATTCTGCGGCTGCCTCTGCAGCGCCGGCTCACATCGGAGAGCCGAGACCAACACTTAAACGTGCTCTTTAAAATTTCACGACCTCTATCGGGTTAAATGCTGCTTCCACTTCCCTGACTTTGCTAAATGACTGCTTGAACCATCAGAAAGCCCTTTTGTGTCATTCTTGATGTAAGATGCAATAACTCTATGAAAATAAAGAAAAAAAGTGTTTCCGCCAAAAACACTGGGGGGTTAAATTAAACCCCTGACATGTTGATTGGACTTAAAACAAATGGGCTCTTTGAGGACATTTAATCAACAATATGATGATGACCCTGTGCTCAGATCGATCGCCCCACATCTAACCCATAGTCATCATCCATACAGGTGTGCTGGGGTGTGAGGGACAGCCTCTCTTTAATAGCGCCATTAAAAAGCAATCAACACGATGCGCAGAACTAGATAAAGACATCCATATTAAAAAAGCCATTCTGCTCATTCCACGTGTTATTAAAACTTTTTAGGGTGTTTTACTTTCTGACGACATTTTTAACACTTATAACCAGTGAAAAGAGTGCATTTTAAAGCAAAGAATCGTGTTTTTGTTCTCATCGCATCTTTGAACACACTACTTCTTCTGCTAGCTGATCTGGTTGAGGGGACAAAAATGACACACCAGGGTAAGCAGTTGGCGCACTGATTAACAGTTTCTAAACCACCTCTTCCCTGGCCTTCTGTCACTGGTGGAGGCAAAGATTTTTGGAAAAGGTGAGAGTGTTGGAAGAGCAGGAAAAAACAAGTTGAGCTGCATCAGAGAATGCGTTTGCTCACTGAAAAATCACACGGGTCATTAAATCTTGACAGGAACTATCCTTTGCTCTCTGCTGTACTCGACCGAAGCAGCAGCTAAAAAAAAAACTGCACAAACAACAATACATCAACTAACGAGTGCTCAGCAGACAAGGGAGCCTCTCCCTGCCTCTTGCCTCTTCGCTTCCCCTTTTCCTATCTTCCTGTCCCCATCCTGTCACCTGGTTCTGCTGGGCTAACTCAGCCATGTAATATTCGTATGGCATCTTTATTTTGGCTTCCACAAGGGCTTCAACAAACAACACCCAGGTTAGTCCCTCTCTCTTCCTTTCTGCTTCATTCATCAGCCCCGATCATTACGGAAGATTAATTAATAAACACAAGATAAAGAGATCCAAGAAAAGTGAGAATCACGATGCAAGCACCAAATATGTCACAGAGGGACTATTTTAGGCGACAGATTACACTGTCGTTTGAAGGTGAACTTCATGAAAAGTCTGCTGTGAGAAAAAAGGGGCGGAAGAGGCCACATTAACCTGGGTGCTGAGCACAAAATAATGCACTATATCTTTGTGGTGATGATGATGTCTTTGTTGGCACTTTACCTCTCCTGTCAAACATCTGTATGCAAAAACACAGCAGAGACAATGAAAAGAGAAGAAAGAAAATGATCTCATTAATCCTACTTCTGGGTTATTTTTGCCCGTTTCCCTGAACTAGCTCCTGAGCAGAGTCAATTTTACAGATGGCTGCTGTCCCTCAGTGGCTATACCAAACAACAATCAACCCTGTAACACAAGAAAAACAAACGAGACGAGAGAAGAGTAGAGGAATGGCGAAGGAAAAAAATGGATATAAAAGAAAGCAGAGGAGTGTCAATAGGGCAGCAGCATCCGTCAGTCTGACACGTAGTTGCCCCTTTCTCTGTCACTGACTAATAGCAGGACTGTCGGTTACAAATTGCCCTGTGATTCACTTGCGATGACACTAGACTGAGAAATCTGGATTGAGTGGAGAAGCACCAAGGGACGCAGGGACAATCCAGGCTGGCTTTATCAGGATCAAAAGGTCTGTCATGGAGACAGAGACTTAAGAGATGCAGGTAATAAAGTCAATCTTCTAGAGGTAAAGGCAGTGGAATGAAGCATTTATACTTTTAATTGACCCTCAATATTTAGGTTTTTACCAAAGATTGTAAAAAGAAAAAACATTTCACTACACAGTCTGGTGTCAGATGCATGCACGGTAGGGCTGGGCGATATGGCCTAAAATCAATATCACAATATTTTGAGGATTTCACCTCGATAACGATAAATGGACGATAAAGGCAGGTATGCGCAGAAACAAAAGTTGTCCACTAGATGGGGCTGTCATGTGTATTACATTGTTGTGCAGCTTCTTAAAGGGACATGAACGTTGCCAAAATACACACATCTTTTCATTTTTTTATTAGCAAACTTATTGACATGGAAAAATGATCTCAATAAGAGTCAGAAATTTCAATAACGATGAATTTTCGATTTATTCCCCAATACCGGGTCAAGCCAAGCTCTTGGCCTTTCTTGCACCATTAACACTAAAAAGAAATAAACAGTACTTTAGTGCAGCCGGCTGCTCATTGGTACTCTGGGATCACCATCACGAGTCTTTTTCACCCAAATCACACTGGGTGCGTCTCTGATGCGTTACAGCAAAAGCACTTTCAGGGGTGTCCCAGAAGCATCTGGCGGCACTGCTAAGGACAGGATTGGGTTCTACTTTTGATGTGATGTGCTTCCAGGACGTGTCAGACTTCGCCGTTAACATATGGCTAGACAGGAAATCGCAGCCTTATCAGCGTAAAGCATCCGATAAATTTCTAAACAAAAGACTATTGTACAGTTCCTTCACTATGTAAACATGACATCTTTACCGGTGACTGAATGACTTATTTGCTTCCTGCATCTTTTGAGGAGAGCAACAGTGTGTTTCGGCATGAACAACCTGGTGGGGGACAATCACAACATTATAAATGACAACAAACTTCAGTGTTTCCTCTATATATGCTCGGCACCTCGGCTACAAAATCCTCCCCCCATGGACCACGCGCCGAAGCTACATGATCCACGCCCCCATCGACTGGCACCATGGTTGGAAAATGTTCGAGCTGCCTTTGTACAAAGACAACACAAAAAAGGAGAAGGCACGGACTGAAGTTTCAAAAATTATCAGAGTGGATGGTAAATTGAAATCACTTATAAATATATTATTTTCAAGCGTACAAAGTCAATTCCCCTGTGATTTAGTGATCAACAACACAGACAGCCAATCTGAATTGGACACATTCTCGGTGTGGACTGACACGCTGCAGTGTTCGCTAACACTCTGCACCGCAATCGTTACGCGCCGCAGTGGCTCCTCACTCACCCAGTGTGAATTAGGGTTTAGGCGCTCCTTGGCTTTAAACCACATAGTTTAAACAAGCTTCTGCAAAACTTTATTATAAGCAAATGCATTAACTCATTTATTAATCCTGGGTGTGCTGGAGCAGAGGAATGTTTAAACCATGCACAAAAGGTCCTGAGGACCAAGGTTGAAGACTACAGCATTAGTGCTAAGCTACTTACACCCAACCTAACCGAGATATACATTTTTACTTAAATTCTGTTTTCTTGATCTGGTCATTGTCTTTTTAAACTCAATGTTAAAACTAGTAAGAAACAACTTTGCCAAACCCAAATCCCTAATGTGTAATAGAGATCCCATGCTGGCACTAAAAAGCTGCATGCAGGCAAGCCTTCAAAGAAACAAAACTGTCTTGTGATTAAACCACAACACACTTAACCAATTAGCACCAATAGAAAACTCATGATAACATGTGAGTCATGTGTTCAACAAGAGGCCTCCAACACTGACAGTGACTAGCAAAAGCAGGTCTGAGTACATGCCTCAAAAGCTTGACCCAAACTCTTTCCAAATATATTTTTTTAATATTTGGAAATGTATAAAATCTCTAAGCAGGTTGCATTATTAACAACAAATTGAGACTTCCACCTGCAGACAAATTATGAACCTTTGTTTAAATTCAAATTACGAGACACCCAAGATCACATCTAAGAAGCCTATAACACAATTAAGGAGGAAAGAAATTCTAATCAATTAAAGTAAAATGGGGATAAATTTTACTAGCAAATTTTAGAAATACAAATGATATTGTTATATGTAGACTGGTGCATTTTATATACAGTAGTATATGTGACATCTAAATGTCTACATTATGCATTTATCTGACAGCACCTCTTTGGGTTCACAATGTTGGCATCCTGAAGGGTGCAGTATTTTGATGTGAGCCATAAAGTTATATTAAATTATTGGTAAGGGTTTCATAGAATATTAAATCCTAAAATATGTCTGACTGTGTCATTTTAAAAGTGCATAATGAAATGACATGTCAGAGGAAATGTGTACCATTTATCTGGACTGTATTATACACACAGCTGCACTCTAGAAGAAAAAACTACAAATGATTAAGAAGCCGCTAACATAATCAAAATAATAACCATCATTTCCACATGGAGTCAAAAAATACCTCTATCCATTGCACAACTATTTCTGAGCAGGAACTCAGGAGGTTAATATTTTCTCAATGTTAGTTGAAAACAGTTAATTTTGCACTTTGAACTGTATTTTGGATGGAACCCAACATGTCTGGTTTCCACTTTGTTGGCCTGGTCTCACCGATCTAATGAGTCATCAGAAACTGGGGTTGAAAATGTATCCAACACCTGTTAATCAATGTGTTATTACAGAAATAAAAAAACACAGTTATGCAACACTAATCGATTACATTTAATTATGTCAGTCACCTGCATTGAATTAGGAGCATTTAATTTGATACAACTGTGGTTTTGAAGGCTATTGGTGAATAAAAATTTAGTATTTATGAAATTTTGAAGTAATTCTTGAGCTTTGGGTGTTTACACACACACACACACACACACACACACACACACACACACACACACACACACACACACACACACACACACACACACACACACACAGGCAGTGTTATGGTGGTTGAATTTTCAGGGTCTTATCTATAAACAGGTTATATAACTGTTATTGAATATTTCCCCTTAGCCTGTTACAACACGTAGATAACACAGACAATAAATAAATCCTCCAGTATATTTAATACCTACTCACAAGGTCTCAGTTAGTTGCATACCTTTACAGTTTTGGTAAGTGTGTTTCCTATTTGATTAAAGTTACTTTATCAAACCAATCAATGCTTCATCCCTTTCCATTTCACCTGCGAAATGAGTTTTCTCATATCCCTAAGACTATTGTGACTTACTGATGTTTCTAGTGGTTTTCCGTTATGATGACACCGAGCACTGACTGTTGCATCATTTACACGAACCCTGTGAAGCAGCCGTATAAATTCACACAGCTAGCCTACTAGCCAACCAGCTAGCTAGATGTAAAACAGACAACCTGAACAGACGAGAGAATACAAGCAGTGCTGCATCTGAGCCACCAGCCTATCTTATAATAGCAACTGCAAACCTTGTCAAAACTAAGATGATCAACTTTAACCCCCTCTCCTCCTAACACACGCGCTGAATGAAGCTAACTAGCAATTCACCTGTGCAGAAACGGTAGATCCATCACACAAGCTAAACACAACAAAAGAAGAAAAAAACTATACGTAAAAGTACAAAAAATTAAAATTACCCGTGCGAGTTTCCTGAGAGCGAATGACAACATGTTTTTAGACGTCAGCTTAGAAGCACAGCAACACACCACTGCAAGACTCGACTGGCTGCTCGAGAGCGTCGGGTTACGCTTTCCCTGCCGAAAGTGCTGATGGGAATTGTAGGAAATAATAACAAAAGACTCACAATGACATACTCTGTATAATTATTTATGAATTTATTGATTTTTTTTACTCTTCTTACTTTGCTTTGCATTTATGTGTATACCTGTCAACTGCTTGCCTTGTTTGTGTCTACAAGGGCAAACAATAAAAACGTATATAAAATAATTAAAGTATCTCTATCTATCTATCTATCTATCTATCTATCTATCTATCTATCTATCTATCTATCTATCTATCTATCTATCTATCTATCTATCTATCTATCTATCTATCTATCTATCTATCTATCTATCTATCCATCCATCCATCCATCCATCCATCCATCCATCCATCCATCCATCCATCCATCCATCCATCCATCATCTATCTATCTATCTATCTATCTATCTATCTATCTATCTATCTATCTATCTATCTATCTATCTATCTATCTATCTATCTATCTATCTATCTATCTATCTATCTATCTATCTATCTATCTATCTATCTATCTATCTATCATCTATCTATCTATCTATCTATCTATCTATCTATCTATCTATCTATCTATCTATCTATCTATCTATCTATCTATCTATCTATCTATCTATCTATCTATCTATCTATCTATCTATCTATCTATCCATCCATCCATCCATCCATCCATCATCTATCTATCTATCTATCTATCTATCTATCTATCTATCTATCTATCTATCTATCTATCTATCTATCTATCTATCTATCTATCTATCTATCTATCTCTGAGCACTGTGGTGCAAAATCACACATGGTGTGAAATTTCTTCTAAAATTATGAGAAATAAAAAATTCATGAAAGCAAATTTGCCCAACAGATAACATATGTGAGCTGATGGACCCTAATCCTAAAACAAAAATCTGCTGTATTTTTTTCCTTGTAAGATTAGATTCAGTTACAGTAATGTAAATAGTTTGATTGTTTATATTGTGCATATATCAAATTCTAATTGTTGACTAATTTCTTACTATTTATTCATGAGCTGTGCTGTTCCCTAACCTCTCAGGTTTTCCACTTATTCCTGGATTCACTTTTCATACTCACCTTTATATTCTGTTCATGGTTGCAGGATAAATGGAGCCTCCAAGCCATGGACAAATGGCATGCAGACTTCGCATGCTTCTGGTTCATCACAGGCCCAGTTCAAACATGGTCTTCTAAAGGTTATCAAGAAATTAACCTAAAGTGCATATCTTTGGATTGTGGAAGGTAGCTGGATAAGATAGCACTAAGTGTCAGGACAATGTTAACACTGTTGTGATTAGGGATGCTCGAAATTGGCTTTTTATCATGAGACGGGGTGAGTACTCCTCTCAATATTCCACCTTTGAGCTGTGTGTTGCAGGAGAGGGAGGTTCCCAGCTGCACCTGGTTTGCAATCAGCGGGCCTGGCTACTTAAGGAGGATGGAGAACACACCTCGATGCTGGATGATTACTACAGCCTGGTAGTGTCCAGCCTCCTAGTGTTCTTGGATTTTGTGCTCTCGAGTTTCTTGGACTTTGTGAACTTTTTGACTCTTGTGATTACCCGCCTCAAGGTTTTTGGAACGTCTCTGGATTCAGTGACTCCTCAGGATTACTCACCCATGCCCATTAGGAATTCTGGATGCAGCTCTGAACCGTTCTCCATTCCTCCTAACTGACCTGCTCTCCTGCTCTCCTCACGCTCCCTCTCCTGGACCCCTTACTTGGATACACCCCGGCTCTCAACCTGCCCTCCCTCATTCCTGTGCTTCCCCAACTCCTAGAAAGTCTTTTCTCTGCACCCACCAAGTTAAGACTTACCACCCTGGACTTACCTGTATCTGCTCTCCCCTCCTCAGACGCTGCACTCCCGTTTCTCGATCCCCACTGGACTTACCAGTGCGCCTTCTGTTCCCGTTTACAATAAATATTTTTTCCTGTCATTCTGTGAGTTGTGATTCTGCATGTCTTGGGTTAGACGTCTCCCCAAACCATGTCACTTTTTTACTGATGTCAGATCTAGTCTAACTCAATTTCTGATACCAATATAAAGGGATACTGATCTATGCCGGGTCCCCTCTAATAAAAAAAAAAACAACTAAATTTTAGGTTACTAACATTACATATCTTCTGTCATGCATGAAAATTATATGTGACAAAAGACAACTACTTTAATTTAAGTTAGTCAATAGGGAAAAGGGCCATATTTACGCTGTCTACAACATCAGCTGAATCTCATTCTCCCTGAAATAATCCTGACAAATGCTTGGTGAGACAAGTTGTGCTAACTCAAGAATTAAATGTCAGATCTGTCCTTTTTTGACATTTTGAGAGAGAAGTAACTGAAGAGTTTGCACAATGTGTGTAGTATGTAAATGTTAAATCATTAAAAGAGTATCAACAAATACAGATGTTACATTGTATTCATATCGACTGATATTACATAATTGGTAGACTGATAATATCAGACATCCCTAGTTGAGTAGCTATTGCATTTTATGGGATAATTTAATTTAAGTGAACCAACAAGAGTTTGCAAACAGAAATGATTAGAATCTCTCCAATAAGAATCAGTAGAAAATGGGTATATATTACCCAAGAATGTCAATGTAATGGGTATATGTCAATTTCTGGACAACACCTAGAAATATATTTATACTTTAAATATTCTCCAAGAAAACAGCCTACAGACTTGTCTTTGTAAGTATACCCTTGATGCTTCAGCGATGCATTTTTGCATAACTGTACACTTGTCTCCTAAATCAGCTTTTTGAAGATGACAACATTTACATTCAAAAATCTTTAATTTGCATACAATCTGAATGTGTTCATGTGCTGACTGTTTCATGTATTCTCACAATGAGGATACATCAGAGGATAAGACAAAATAAATGTTTGGTGATCCTTTGCTTTAGACCTTCTGTGTAACACATGTATAACCAGCCTTTAAGCCTGAGCAGGTGCAGCAATCACCAAACTCTGCATAGTTTAATGTCATAAATCAAGACTGTTGCAGAAAGAAAAATATGTGGAAGGTACAGATGCTGGTCATAAACTTAGAATATAATGAAAAAGCTGGTTTATTTCAATTATTCCATTCAAAAGTGAAACTTATATTACATTCATTCAGTCATTACACACAGAAATAAAGACCAACACAAAAGAGGAATTTTAGACATGTTGGCCAACTGAAAAGTATGATTATGAAAAGCATGAGCATGTATAGCACTCAATATTTAGTTGGGGCTCCTTTGGCCTGGATAACTGCAGCGATGTGGTGTGGAGTCTGTCTGTGGCACTGCTCAGGTATTATTAGAGCCCATGTTCCTCTGATAGTGGACTTCAGGTCTTCTGAATTGTTGGGTCTGGCGTATTGCATCTTTCTCTTTACAATACCACATAGATTTTCTATAGGTTTATGGTCAGGTGAGTTTGCTGGCCAATCAAGAACAGAGATACCATGGTCCTTAAACCAGGTACTGGTAGCTGTGGCACAGTATGCAGGTGACAAGTCCTGTTGGAAAATGAATTCTGCATCTCCATAAAGTTGGTCAGCAGCCGGAAGCATGACATGCTCTAAAACATCCTGGTATACCGCTGTGTTGACTTAAAACCTTAGAAAACACAATGGACCAACACCAGCAGATGACATCAAACTATCACTGACTGGAAACTTTACACTGGACATCAAGCAACATGGATTCTGTGCCTCTCCTCTCTTCTACCAGACTCTGGGACCTTGAATTTAAAAGGAAAGGCAAAATTTACTTTAATCAGAGAACATAACTTTGGACCACTCAGCAGCAGCCCAGTGCTTTCCGTCTTTAGCCCAGAAGAGACACTTCTGCTATGTATCTTGTTCAAGAGTGGCCTAAAACTTGCATTTGTCTGTGCATGGTGGTTCTTGAAGCACTGACTCCAGCTGCAGTCCACTCTTTGTGAATGTAGTCTCTGGAAATGGTCTGTTTTTCCATCTACAGGTCACCTCTTCAGTATCGGGTCATTTGGAGACATACATCTTAACTGGTGCTTTAATCTGCAAGAAAAATACTGTTGCTTGGCCAAGGCCCCTCCAAGCTCACTCTTATCTAAGACTGGTTTTTATTCACAGCACAAGACAGATGAACTTTCAGAATTAAATAATATAATAAACAAGATGAGTAAATAATCATTTGGTTGAATAAACAATAATGGTTGAAGAATAATACTCTTTTGATTAATCTGCTTAAACTACTGTGATTGAAATGAATTTTATTATGTTATGATCAGTAAAGTTAGATTTAACAAATGAATTACTGCTGACAGCTCACACACTCAAGACACGTGACGATGACAAGGTTAAGAGAATATCCTGACACATTGTTTTCTGTTCCACCAATCAGAACTCATGTATCTGACACGAGGCGTGTTTTCTGAGGTTTGTCGGCATAGGCGTCATTTTAACCGGGGACATGTCCCCGGCAAAATTTCTGATTGGCAGCTGTGCCCCCCCCACACACTTTCAAAAAATTTGTTTTTTTTTCTTACCAGCTCAGATCGTAAACCTACGTCTGCTCCCAGCAGATTTTTTTAATGTCGCAACTGGCATCTAATTATTTATACTTGAGCTTTAAATAAAAATAAAACTGTAATCAATTAATTAATTAATTTGTAACATTTCTGAAAAAGCGCCCTGTGTTATGCTGAGTTCTCTACGCTGCTGCCCTGCATGCAGCTGTCAGCAGTTGTGATAAGCAGGAGATTACGTCACCCACACTGCTCTAGAATCCCTTATTCTTGTTTAGCTCCAAGAGGTAAGCAATGTTATATTTTATTTAACACCAAAAGAAGGGGATATTTTTATGCGATTAATGCAGGGGTCCTTCAGGTGTGCTTACAGCCACCCCAGCTGTTAGCATGTAGCTGGTGGAGGTGAGTACACCTGAGCAGAATAATAAGTTAAGTCAATTATAAGTTGAGTTAAGTAGCTTTTGTGACTTGTTTTTGACATGCGAGGGCTCT